CCAGCCTGGAGAAAGAGTGAGACTCCATCTCAAAAAAAAAAAAAAAAGGAGAAGAAAACTCCCAGGTTCACCGGGGCTGTTGCACACCCTTTAAATGACCCATCATAAAGACCTCACCCCTCTCTGATAGGTAAGGCAAAGGTTAAGGTCCATTCTGCTTGCCACACTCTATTTCCTTCTAGCTAGGCCAGAACATAATATTTGGAACCAACTATTTCCTCTCTCAGCTGACTGTAAGAATGCTTTTATGCTTTTTTTTTTTTTTTTTTTTTTTTTTTTTTTTTTTTGAGACAGGGTCTTACTGTGTCGCCCAGGCTGGAGTGCAGTGGCATGATCTTGGCTCACTGCAGCCTCGAAGGTTCAAGCTATTCTCCTGCCTCAGCCTCCCGAATAGCTGGGATTACAGGCATATGCCACCATCCCAGGCTAATTTTTGTATTTTTAATAGAGACAGGGTTTTGCCATGTTGACCAGGCTGGTCTCGAACTCCTGACCTCAGGTGATCTGCCCACCTTGGCCTCCCAAAGTGCTGGGATTACAGGCTGTATGCTTTTTATAGTGTTGGGTGGTTAAGTCTTACACAAAGTAAATGCCCGGTAAATACTTATGCATGACTCAACCATTCAGGTTGATATTAAGCTAAGACCGGTCACCCCATAGCCCCTGCCATACCATATGCTCCCAGAGAGAGCACTTCTGGCCCTCCCTAAGATGGCTGCCACCACCACTACTTTGTGGAGGAGAACAGTCATCCTAAAGGTTAGTCATCCCTAACCTTTGGACTAACTATTCACTATTCAGTGTAGGCTGATTTCTCATCGCGCTTTATATTCCCAAGTGCCTTAGTCACTGCCAGAAGAACAAGCCTTCTAGATTATCCAACGTGGATAGATCATCAACACTAGATAGTATCCCAGTACCCGTGAGTCCACCGCTAATCTGATCAAGCCCCTTTCCCTCCCCCTTCCCAAATTCTTCCACCGTTCCTTTGCAACTCCTGATCTGTCACCATCGAACGCCTTTGTAGCCTCATCCTCTTCTTTGAATGTTTCCTTCACCTCTTGGCAGTAAATGAACCTGGCTGTCTCTGAGCACCCCGTCTCCTGAGCGGCCCTCTGAAGTAGAAGCTGCTTTGCTTTTCCTGACATCTCAGGCTCCTAAGAACCAGCGAGTTCTACTTCCCATTTCTACTTCCCATTTCCAAACTGTTGCTTGCCTCTCCTCCTTTAGACACCAGCTCCTTTGAAACTGCTCTGATGACTCCTATCCTTCCAGCTAACTTACTCAAGAACTCCCACTGTCTCAGTTCTTCAACAGTGTCTGATACCATTTCTCTCTCTTCTCTTGTCTTCACATCCCAACCTCACTTAAGTTCCATGGCTCAGCATTTTTATTCCACATTTGCAAATACTGTCCACAACAATCTTATCCTTCTTTCTTCTATCATATTTTATTTATTTTTTTCTAGATGGAGTCTCACTCTACAATAGTCACTTTTAAAATTATTTATTAGTGGTCCGGTGCAGTGGCTCACGACTGTAATCCCAGCACTTTGGGAGGCCAAGGTGGGTGGATCATGGGGTCAGGAGTTCAAGAACAGCCTGGCCAACATGATGAAACCCGGTTTCTACTAAAAATACAAAAATTAGCCGGGCGTAGTGGTGTGTGCTTGTAATCCCAGCTACTTAGGAGGCTGAGGTAGGAGAATCGCTTGAACCTGGGAGGAGGTACTGTAAGCCAAGATCATGCCATTGCACTTCAGCCTGGGCAACAAAAGCAAAACTCCGTCTCAAAAAAAAAAAAAATTATTCATTAGTGTGGCAAGGTGGCTCACTCCTGTAATCCCAGCACTTTGGGAGGCAGAGAAGGGCAGATCACCTGAGGTCAGGAGTTCAAGACCAGCTGGCCAACATGGCGAAACCCCATCTCTACTAAAAATACAAAAATTAGCTAGGTGTGTTGGCACATGCCTGTAATCCCAGTCACTTGGGAGGCTGAGGCAGGAGAACCCCTTGAACCCGAGAGGTGGAGGTTGCAGTTAGCTGAGATGGTACCACTATACTCCAGCCTGGGCAACAGAGTCAGACTCTGTCTCAAAAAAAAAAAGAAGAAGAAGAAGAAGAAGAAGGAGAACATCCAGACCGTTCAGCAAACTCCAGCACCCAGGTGGCTTGTCCTCCACCTCACCCCTTCACTCCATCTTGTCCTTAGCCTGAGCCCTGCTCCACCCACTCCTTCTCCCCTGGTTATTTGGAGTCGCAGTACACTAAGAGGTTGCCCTACCTGAGTACCATCCCTACTCAGTTGTGCACTCCTTGCTAGGGCCTGCACCTCCACTGGGTCAGAGCATGAAGATTAACCCCCTGCTTTCACACTTAAATAAGATGCAGGCAGGCACGGCTCATGCCTGTAACCTCAGCACTTTGGGAGGCCAAGATGGGTTGATCACCTGAGGTCAGGAGTTCGAGACCAGCCTGACCAACATGGTGAAACTCTGTCTTTACTTAAAAAATACAAAATTAGCTGGGTGTGGTGGTGGGTGCCTGTAAACCCAGTTACTTAGAAGGCTGAGGCAGGAGAATCTCTTGAACCCAGGAGGCGGAGGTTGCAGTGAGCTGAGATCGTGCCATTGCACTCCAGCCTGGGCAACAAGAGTGAAACTCTGTCTCAAAAAAAAAAAAAAAAAGATGCAGGCAAAAGGCAAAAGGGTGGCACAGAATAGGCGCTGCACACTTGTTTGTAAGTACTTGGTAGAAGCACATAGTAGGTGCTTAATATTTACTGTAAAGTTTAATAATGTACTCAAAACCTGGTGAAAATAAAGCACCTGTCAACAATGCTTAGCAGTTATAATTATTGCTATATTCTATCAGTGTTCTATACTAATTGACATAAATCTTACAAATACGCCAAGTTGGCCGGGCACAGTGGCTCATGCCTGTAATCCCAGCACTTTGAGAGGCTGAGGCTGGGGGATCAAGAGGTCAGGAGATCGAGACCATCCTAGTCAACATAGTGAAACCCCATCCCTACTAAAAACACCAAAAAAAATTTAGCTGGGCATGGCGGTGCATGCCTGTAATCCCAGCTACTTGGGAGGCTGAGTCAGGAGAATTGCTTGAACCAGGGAGTCAGAGGTTGCAGTGAGCCGAGATTGTGCCATTGCACTCCAGCCTGGCAACAGAGTGAGACTACATCTGAAAAAAAAAAATATGCCGAGTTGGCCAGGTGCTGTGGCTCACACCTGTAATCCCAGCAATTTGGGAGGCAGAAGCAGGAGGATTGCTTGAGCCCAGGAGTTCAAGACCAACCAGGGCAAGATGGCAAGGCACTCATCTATCTATCATCTATCTATCTATCTATCTATCATCTATCTATCTATCTATCTGTCTATCATCTATCTAATCTATCTATCTATCTATCTGGAATAATATTCAAACTCCTAACCATTCCTTAAGGCATTGTATGAGCTCACATTTGCCCTCTCTCAATCACCAAATCTCCTCTCTCAATCACCAAACTCCAGCCTCATTGACCTCCTTTCTGTTCTTCCAGCATACCTTGTCTATCTAATCAATAGCAATATGAGACATTAGGTCAAATGTGTTCCTGAAATCAAGGTAGGCTATTTTTTTTTTTTTTTTTTTTGAGACAGAGTCTTGCTCTGTTACCTAGGCTGGAAATGCAATGGCATGAGCTCAGCTCACTGCAACCTCTGCCTCCCAGGTTCAAGTGATTCTCCTGCCTCAGTCTCCCAAGTAACTGGTATTACAGGTGCCCGCCACCACACCCAGCTAAGTTTTTGTATTTTTAGTAGAGATAGGGTTTCACCATGTTGGCCAGGCTGGTCTCGAACTACTGACCTCAGGTGATCCACCTCCTTTGGCCTCCCAAAGTGCTGGATTACAGGCGGAAGTCACCATGCCCAGCCCCTAGTCGAATTACAATAAATGTTTACACATTATACACTTGTTTAACCATCTGCAATAATAAAATTCATCCTATTTAAAACTTCTTTAAATTCTACATATTACACACACACATTCTCAAATCTATGTGAAAACAAGTAAACTATAGGATATTAACTACAGTAATTTTCTTAAATAGCATTTTTTTTAAAGAACATATCTTTTTCCAATACCATTTACATTTAATTTGTAATTTTTTTTATTTAGAAATATCGCAACATTCATGAGAAAAAACAGTCATAACCACTTTCTCCTTTTCCATCCACACTTTGTTTTTTTTTTTTCTTGGAAAGGGAGTCTCGCTCTTGTTGCCCAGGCTACAGTACAATGGCAAGATCTTGGCTCATCACAACCTCTGCCTTCCGGGTTCAAGTGATTCTCCTGCCTCAGCCTCCGGAGTAGCTGGGATTACAGGCACCCGCCACCACGGCCAGCTAATTTTTTTGTATTTTTAGTAGAGACGAGGTTTCACTATGTTGGTCAGGCTGGTCTCGAACTCCTGACCTCAGGCGATCCACTTGCCTCGGCCTCCCAAGGTGCTGGGATTACAGGTGTGAGCCACCACACCTGGCCTGTTGTTGGCTTTTTAATTGGGTGCTTAGTTGATGGCTAGACAAGTTTAGCTATGATTTTTTTGCTGTTGTTGGAGAAGGAGTCTCACTCTGTTGCTCAGGCTGGAGTGCAATGGCATGATCTTGGCTCACTGCAACCTCCACCTCATGGGTTCAAGTGATTTGCCTGCCTCAGCCTCCCAAGTAGCTGGGATTACAGGTGCACACCACCACGCCCAGCTAATTTTGTATTTTTAATAGATATGGCGTTTCACCATGTTAGCCAGGCTAGTCTTAAACTCCTGACCTCAGGAGATCCACCTGCCTTGGCCTCCGAAAATGCTGGGATTACAGGCATGAGTCGCCACGCCCGGCCTAGCTATGGTTTTTAGTCTTGTTATATTTCTTTCTTAGTCAGATATTGTGAGACAATATATTTGCACACAGTCAGGGTGGGTGCAAGAATTGAGTAAATCAACAGACATGAAAGCCCTTTGAAAAGGGGAAAGGGCATGCTCGCTTCGGCAGCACATATACTAAAATTGGAATGAAAAAGTGAAAGGGCTATGCTTGTGTAAGGGGTTACTATTATTATTTTCTTTTTTTGAGACAGAGTCTCACTCTGTCACTCAGACTGGAGTACAGTGGCATGATCTCAGTTTGTTGCAACCGCTGCCTCCAGGGTTCAAGCAATTCTCCTGCCTCAGCCTCCCAAGTAGCTGGAATTAAATGCATACACTTAATTACGTTCTCTAACACCATGCCCAGCTAACTTTTGCATTTTTAGTAGAGACGGGTTTTCACCATGTTGCCCAGGCTGGTCTCAAACTCCTAACCTCAAGTGATCCACCACCCTTGGCCTCCCAAAGTACTGGGATTACAGGCATGAGCCACCATGCCCAGCCTGAAAATATTAATAAATGTTCTTAAATATGGCACTAGAACTACAGAAGATTCACAATTAAAACATAAAATAAGTAATTTTCAGCAGTGAATGACAAATTGAAAAGGCATTAAAGAGCTATTAAAATAAACAATACCTGCCAGCGTGGTGGCTCATGCCTATGGGAGTGGCTCAGCATTTTGGGAGGCTGAGGCAGGAGGATCACCTGTGGTCAGGAGTTCAAGACCAGCCTGGCTAACATGGTGAAACCCCATCTCGACTAAAAATACAAAACTTAGCTGGGTGTGGTGGCAGGCACCTGTAATCCCAGCTACTTGGGAGGCTGAGGCAGGAGAATTGCTTGAACCTGGAAGGTAGAGGTTGCAGTTAAGCAGAAATAGAGCCATTGCACTCCAGCCTGGGTGACACGGAGAGACTCCATCTTGAAAAAAAAAAAGCCGGGCGCGGTGGCTCAAGCCTGTAATCCCAGCACTTTGGGAGGCCGAGGTGGGTGGATCGCAAGGTCAAGAGATCAAGACCATCCTGGTCAACATGGTGAAACCCCGTCTCTACTAAAACTACGAAAAATTAGCTGGGCATGGTGGCGCGTGCCTGTAGTCCCAGCTACTCAGGAGGCTGAGGCAGGAGAATTGCCTGAACCCAGGAGGCGGAGGTTGCGGTGAGCGGAGATCGCGCCATTGCACTCCAGCCTGGGTAACAAGAGCGAAACTCCGTCTCAAAAAAAAAAAAAAAAAAAAGACCAGGAGTGGTGGCTCATGCCTGTAATCCCAGAACTTTGGGAGGCTGAGGCGGGCAGATCATGAAGTCAGGAGTTGGAGAACAACCTGGCCAACATGGTAATACTATTAAAAATACAAAAATTAGCTAGATGTGGTGGCAGGCACCTGTAATCCCAGCTACTCAGGAGGCTGAGGCAGGAGTATTGTTTGATCCCAGGAGGCGGAGATTGCAGTGAGCCGAGATCTCACCATGGCACTCTAGCCTGTGCCATCTGGGGGGGTGGAGGGGGAACTACCCTGGATGTATACTTAGATACAATGAGTCAGAGATTAGTGCGGTATTTTATTATTTATTTAATAATTATGCTTACTCAATTCACTATATTGCAATGAACAATAAATGGGTGTCCAGTTATAAGAAGATGAAGTTCTCCAGATTATGTAAACAGATTTAGACCTCAGAATGGAACATTTTGCCAATAAAACCACAATAACCAGTTAGATTATTCTTGGGAAAAGTACATGTAATTTGGAGAAAGACAAACTTCCTGAAAACATCCAAAACACAGCAGACAACAAAAATCTGGTTAATTTGTTCCTGATTTGTTAGTACTATCTCTCTCTCTCTTTTTTTTTTTTTTTTTTTTTTTTTTTTTTTGAGATGGAGTTTTGCTCTAGTTGCGCTGGCTGGAGTCCAATGGCAGAGTCTTGGCTCACTGCAACCTCCACCTCCCAGGTTCAAGTGATTCTCCTGCCTCAGCCTTACAAGTAGCTGGGACTGCAGACATGTGCCACCACATCCGGCTAATTTTTTCTGTATTTTTAGTAGAGACAGGGTTTCACTATGTTAGCCAGGCTGGTCTCGAACCCCTGATCTTAGGTGATTTGTGTCCTTCGGCCTCCCAAAGTGCTGAAATTACAGGGATGAGCCACCATGCCTGGCCTATATAGCTTATTTCATACACCAAGTAAAATTTAAATTATACAAAACAAATTATAGAAATACTATAACAACATGACTATTTACATTGATCAACTTGCCTACACTTCAACAGAAACATAGAAATGATTGTTTAAGCATAAACTTTGATTTGATACATATTCTTGTAGAAATTAATCAAACAGCTGAATCTTAAAATTGCTCTTTTACCTTTACTTTTTTTTTGAGACAGAGTCTCGCTGTCCCCAGGCTGGAGTGCAGTGGCAGGATCTTGGCTCACCGCAACCTCCAACTCCCTGGTTCAAGCGATTCTCCAGCTTCAGCCCCGGAGTAGCTGGGATTACAGGCTCCCAGCTTTTTTTTTTTTTTTTTTTTTTTTTTTTTTTGAGACGTCGTCTGGCTCTGTCACCACGCTGGAGTGCAGGAGAACCATCTCGGCTCACTGCAACCTCCGACTCCCAGGTTCAAGCAATTCTCCTGCCTCAGCCTCCTGAGTAGCTGGCATTGCAGGCACGCGCCACCAGGCCCGGCTAATATTTGTATTTTTAGTAGAGACGTGGTTTCACTGGGTTGCCAGGCTGGTCAACGAACTCCCGACCTCGTGATCCGCCCGCCTCGGCCTCCCAAAGTTCTGGAATTACAGGCGTGAGCCACCGCACCCGGCCTCTTCTTTTTTTTTTTCTAATTTCAAAGGAGTACAATTAAACTGCCAGGTAAAGCTCAAAGGTCGTCTTTTTTATAGTGTTTTGTCTTTATATTCCCTTTAGCCTCCACTTTCCTCTACCCAGTCGCCGCACCCTTTCCCCCAAGCCCGGTTCTTCAAGGCTTCAGAGTTAGCGCTGCTCCAGGTAAAAGGAATTCTCAGCACAGAGCCTTCAAACCTTCTCGGAGGCCACTAAGGGCCCCTGCCGCCGCCAGGGAGAGAAAGCACCTGGGGCGGGGCGGGGCGTGCGGGCGCACACCTGCGGAGGGGGCGGTGCCCCAACAATTGCACCGGGGCTGGGGGAGGGGAGCTACTCACTCCCCGCCCCCGGGCGGTGACTCATCACCGAGCACCGGCTGCCTGAGGTAAGCCGACCCGGGATGGGGCGGAGAGGCGGGGCCGCCAGGTCGTGTAGGTCTGCGTTTCTCCCCGCCGCGCGCACTAAGCGCAAGTCCTTCGGCGAGCAAGCACCTTCGGCGCGGTCCGAGGACCCCCTCGTAGCGGTCCTCCAGACGCGGACCCGCGCGCCCCAAGCTTCTCGCCGCCAGGCCGGCTTCTCAAGCTTTGCTCCCGGCGCACGCCCTCCCGCGAGCTCCCGGCCCTTCCCTAGCCCCTCTTCCCGGCGCGCGGACAGCATGGCGCCACCGCAGGTCCTTGCGTTCGGGCTCCTGCTCGCGGCGGCGACGGCAACTTTGGCCGCGGCTGAGGAAGGTGAGGCGCGGACTTGGAGCAGGAGTTGTGGAGTTGGGCTGGGCTGGGCTGGAGGGCAGCGGCCTGCGGCCCCCGAGGCGGGGATAATGGGGAGGGCACCGAGAGGCCGCGCTTTCCAGCCTGTAGCCCAGACGGCGCGGCGGTGCCCCGGCCCCGGCCCTCGGCGCCGTAGGAAGCGGCAAGGCGGCGCTCACTCACGCCGGCGGGGGAACAGCCTCACTTTGCAGCTTTGCTCGCCTCGGTAGGGAAGTGGCCCGGGGCGGAGGCGGGGGACAGGCGAGGAACTGAGTGGCCACGTCCAGGAATCCTGCGGCCACCGAACCAAGGCTTCGCGCCCTGACGTACCCACCTCCTCAGGCCGGGGTGGATTTGGGGTTCCATAACAGCCCGAGCCGGTGGCAGACTCTCTGCGATAGGGACCAGCTGGCCCGCCCTTGTCCTTGTCACCTACGGCGGGCCCCGGATGTGGCCTTAGGCGGGGACAGGTGCGGCACGCAGAGAGGCCTCCAGGGCCGCTATGCACCTGCGCGCAGCCTGCGGGCCTGGATTACACAGGGCGTTTGGGTGTTTTCCCTTTTCTAAGGATCGTATGAGTAATGCCGAGCTTATTGTAGGAAACGCAGAAACAACAATAACCGTGAAGTGTAAAAACCTATAATCCCACCATTTTGAGAATCCCGTAATTAATAACTAGATATACCTTTCTTTCTTTATTTTTTTTTGCTTATTTGAGGCGGCCTTGCTCTGTCGCCCAGGCTGAAGTGCAATGGCACAATCTTGAACTGTAACCGCTACCTTCCCGGCTCAGACCATTCTCCTGCCTTAGCTTTTACGCCCGGCTAATTTTTGTATTTATTTATTTTATTATTATTATTAGAGACCGAGCTTCGCTCTTGTCTCCCAGGCTGGAATGCAACGGCATGATCTCAGCTCACTGCAACCTCTGACTCCTGGGTTCAGACGATTCTCCTGCCCCAGCCTCCTGAGTGGCTGGGCCTACAGGCGCATACACCACCACGCTCGAGTAATTTGTATTTTTAGCAGAGACGGTGTCGCCATGTTGACCAGGCTGGTCTCGAACTCCTGACCTCAGGTGATCCACCCGCCTTGGCCTCCCAAAGTGCGGGGATTACAGGTGCCAGCCTCCCAAGTAGCTGGGATCACTTGCACCCACCACCACACCCCGATAATTTTTGTATTTGTATTTTCATTCATTTATTTATTTTTGAGATGGAGTGACGCTCTGTTGCCCAGGCTGAAGTGCAGTGGAACAATCTTGGCTCACTGCAACCTCTGCCTTCCAGGTTCAAGCAATTCTCTGTCTCATCCTCCGGACCAGCTTGGATTACAGATGCCTGCTCGCTCTCTCCCTCTCCCCACCCCCCCCGCTCCCCCCCCCCCCCCCTCTCCCCTCTCTCTCTCCCTCCCCCCCCCTTCTCTCCCTCCCTCCCCTCTCTCTCTTGCTCCTCCCTCTCTCTCTCTCTTGCTCCTCCCTCTCTCTCTCTCTCTCTCCTCCTCCTCTCTCTGTCTCCTCCCTCTCTCTCTCTCCCCCCTCTCTCTCCTCCCTCTCTCTCTCCTCCCT